TGCAAGTATCTTGTCTCACTCTAGGCCTACAAGTTTTAGAGCTGGAGGCAATCTGTCGTTGTCCTCTTTGCAAGATGAATTTCATGAGGGCAGGGGCTATGCATCTTCTTTGTTTACCTTCAAACTCTGGGCACAGGGCTTGGCGCGGAGTAGGCAGAAAACAAATGTTTGTGGAGTAAAAGATGAGTGAGCCTCCCAGGGGGGTGATCTTTGCAGCCTGAGGCTCCAATGCGCGTCAGCAGCTGTTGGTTCCCAGAAAAAGAGCGTGGAGAGTGAGGCGCCCGCCTCTTCCCCACCCCTCTGCCTGCCCGGAGTGGCAGCCAGCTCCCGAGTCTGCCTGTGGGTCCTCTGCCAGCTGGACGCCTGCCCACCTGCACCTGCCCAGGGGGGGCCTCGCCCAGAGAAGTCACATTTTAATTAACTTCCCGGCAGTCATCAGAGAGGCCAGATCATTTTCATAAACAAATGAGAAGCCAGAGCTTCGTCTGCAGCTCAGAGGGAGTCACGTGGGAGGAATTCAAACAAACCAGCTCGTAGAGGCCCGAGCACCCGGCACCCGGCACCGCCTGGAACGCCGGACCCCGGGGCGCTCCGGGAAGGTCAGGGCTGGGGTTTGAGGGGGAAGGAAGAGGGAGAAACGTAGCAGGTTCTGTATGAAACAGAACCGACAGCCTCCAAGCAGGCCTTTCACTCATTCATTCATTCATTCCCCCTCCTATGTCCTCGCGTCCACTGTGCTGGGCCCTGGAAAGGAAGGTGAAAATAAAGACCGACAGGGGGCAGCTGGGAGCCTCTGTCCCTTCTGCTCAATGTTGCTGTGAACCTAAAACTTCTCTAAAAATTACTGTCTATTTTTAAAAAATTGTTTTTATTTAACCTTAAAATCCTATATAATAAAAGCCTAATATGCTGTGTCCAGTCGTCCGGTCGGCCGTTCAACCAATTCAAGTGTAATATGCTCAACTGCTTGCTATGACATGCACTGACCACCAGGGGGCAGATGCTCCCACCAGTAGGTTAGCTTGCTGTTGGGGTCGGCTGATCAGGGACTGAGCGAGATGGGCTAGACAGGCCTTGGAGCCCTCCGTCGGCCCCTCCCCAGCTGGCCAACCTCCCGAGTCCCTCCCTGACCCCGATCGTGCACTGGTGGGGTCCCTCAGCCAGGCCTGCACCCTCTCGCAATCCAGGACCCCTCGGGGGATGTCAGAGAGCCGGTTTCGGCCTGATCCCGCAGGCCAGGCAGAGGGACCCCACTGGTGCACGAATTCGTGGACCGGGCCTCTAGTAAGTAAATAAAGACTGAGCTCACAGTCTACCAGGGGAGACAGACATTAAACTGATTACCACACAATCCGTGACTTGCTTACACTACCTTGTGATTGTTAATGGCTTTACTGTGATATGACCCACACACCACACAACTCACCCATTTAAAGCTACAACCCAAAGGCTTTCAGCCTGTTCGCAGAATTGTGCACAGAAACTCAGGTCAGTTAAGTTCTGAGCCCCAAACAAGCAGAACAGACGGCGAAAGTTACCGGGGCCCCGGGAGGGAGCGGCTGCTGTGAGTGCCAGGGGTGCGGAGAGCTGAAGGAGGAGGACAGTAGAGGGTGGGCCAGGAGCAAAGGGCATTCCGGGAGGCTGGGCGCCTGCAGAGCCTCGGGGAGGGGAGTGGGCTAGCCCCCCCTAAACCACAGGGCATCTAGGGGGGCGTGTCTGGGAGGTGAAGCTGCAGGGATGGGTGGGTTGGAGGGTGCAGGGCCCGGACTGCCAGCTCCAGGGAGGCGTTAATTCCAGAGTGACAAGCCACACAGGGGTCCCGACCACCTCCCTCTACGCACTCGGGTCCCTGGGAGCCAGGGAGGTGGGACGGAGATGAGCTGGAAGGAGAGAGCGCGAGGGAGGAGAGGAGCCTGACACCGAGCACACTGAACTGATGTACTAAACAGCTCTGGACCAGGGGACCAGCAGGGACTATGGGCGCTGAGGGCGACAATGGCCCTCTGAGCGTGCAGG